GAACCTCCATCCATAGTTCTTCAGGCACTCTGTCTATCAGATCTAATCCCTTGAATCTATTTGTCACTTTCACTGTATAATTGTTTGATTTATGTCATACCTGAATGGTCTAGAAGTTTTCCCTACTTTCTGTAACTTCAGTCTGATGCTGTAAATAAGGAGTTCATGAACTGAGTCACAGTCAGCTCCTGGTCTTGTTTTTGCTGACTGTATAGAATTCTCCATCTTTGACTGCAAAGAATATAATCGATCTGATTTTGGTATTGACCACCTGGTGATGTCCATGTATGGAGACTTCTCTTCTGTTGTTGGAAGAGGGTGTTTGCTATGACCAGTGCATTCTCTTGGCAAAGCTCTGTTAGCCTTCGACCCGCTTTGTTTTGTACTCCAAGGCCAAATTTGCCTGTTACCCCAGGTATCTCTTGACTTCCTACTTTTGCATTTCTGTCCCCTATAATGAAAAGGGTATCTTTTTTGGGTGTTAGTTCTAGAAGGTCTTGTAGGTCTTCACAGAACTGTTCATCTTCAGCTTCTTCAGCATTACTGTCAGGACATAGACTTGGATTACTGTGATATTGAATGGTTTGCCTGGGAAATGGACAGAGATCATTCTGTCATTTTTGAAATTGCATCCAACTACTGCATTTCAGACTCTTTTATTTACTATGAGGGCTACTCCATTCCTTCTAAGGGATTCTTGCCCATAGTGGTAGATATAATGGTCATCTGAGTTAAATTCACCCATTCCAGTCCATTTTAGTTCACTGATTCCTAAAATTTCGATGTTCACTCTTGCCATCTCCTATTTGACCGCTTACAATTTGCCTTGATTCATGGACCTGACATTTCAGGGTCCTACGCAATATTGCTTTTTACAGCATCAGACTTTACTTCCATCACCAGTCACATCCACAACTGGGTGTGGTTTTTGCTTTGGCTCCGTCTCTTCATTCTTTCTGGAGTTATTTCTTCACTGATCTCCCATAGCATATTGTGTACCTACCTACCTGGGGAGTTCATCTTTCAGGGTCATATCCTTTTGCCTTTTCATGATGTTCATGGTGTTCTCAAGGCAAGAATACTGAAGTGGTTTGCCATTCCCTTCTCTAGTGGACCACATTTTGTCAGAACTCTCCACCATGACCCCTCCATCTTGGGTGGCCCTACACGACATGGCTCATAGTTTCTTTGAGTTAGACAAGGTTGTGGTCCATGTGATCAATTTAGTTAATTTTCTGTTGATTATGGTTTTCATTTTGTCTGCCCTCTGATGGATAAGGATGAGAGGCTTCTGGAAGCTTCCTGATGGGAGAGACAGACTAAGGGGGAAAACTAGGTCTTGTTCTGATGGGCAGAGCCATCCTCAGTAAATCTTTAATTCAATTTTCTGTTGATGGGAAGGGCTCAAGTGTACTTCAAAAAAGTAATTGAAAAAATATATAAAAGTTTTTCCCATGAGGCTCTCAATTGAAGTGTTTTTCCAGATGAGTCCTGCCAAGGTTCACGGGCCAATCCCAAGGCCTAGTTGACTCAGCTGAGGAGAGCTCAGGAGACATGAAGCAGTCCTGCACGAACTGGTGTAGGATTCAATCCTCATTTTCTTGGATTCTGACAGTATATTAATATAGCATTAAAGGAGGTAGAGTGGATTGGTAGTAGTTGAATCCGTATGGATAATAATAGCGAATGTATAAATTCCTTACTGTGAGCCAGGCACTGTTCCTTCCAACTTAAAAACGTGAGTATTTGACACAGTTTATGAGATAGGTTTTATTACGGAGTCTACTTTCTAGTGAGACATGCAGGCATGAACAAACTAGACATGTAGAACTTGAATAAGGTCATGCCACTAGTACTGAATTCAAACCCTGACTGTCTGACTCTAGATCTCACTTAACACTGTGCTCTGTGACAAGTACTGGTGTTCCTGAAGAAAACATGCCATGTGTTTCCTGCCCTCATAGAGCTTAGAGTATTTCTATAGAGATTATATGCATTAAACACATTGAGGGCTACTGCTTGCTGTATATTCATGTTGTGCAAGGCATTGAGGGAGGCACAGATAAACTCATGTTATTCCTTACAAAGGGGGGGGGGGAATCTATCACAAATGGTACAGATAAGACGTGAAGAATAATAGCATAACACTGAGGACCTTGACCTACTTCAGGTACATGAAGAACATCCAGGAACTTCTTGCCTAAGAGAAAAATTGCAGCTGACACCTGAGGCTGCCTGAGAGCTAGACAGCAAAGAGTGTTTGTCTGCATGTGTTTTTGGTGAATACTAGTGAGAAAAATGGAGAATATTGTAGACAAACAGAAGCTAGAGATGCTGCACTCAATCTCTATATATGTGGTTGGTAAATTTTCAAGGCTATTTTAAGTTCCAGCATTTTGTTTTTGGGACTTCCCAAGTACTACAGTGGTAAAGAATCCACCTGTCAACGCAGAAGATGCAAAAGACATGGGTTTGATCCCTGGGTTGGGAAGATCCCCTGGAGAAGGAAATGGCAACCTATTCTAGTATTCTTGCCTAGGAAATCCCATGAACAGAGGAGCCTGGTGGGCTACAGTCCAGGGGATTGCAACGGCATCAAAAACAATGGAGCACAGCACAGCACACACACATTCTGTCTTTGAATTATCAGCTTCACCATCACTTCCTTAGGAAAACCATCTGTGACTCTCCCAATCAAGTCAGTCCACCCTTTTGATATACTCTCACAGCCTGCCTGCCTACACCATGCCTGCCTACACTCAGCCATTAACATTATATTTAAATTTTATTTGCATGATTCTTTGATTAATATCTGTCTCTCATCAGACTATATGATCCAATAGGGAAAGGGTCAAGTTTGTATTTGGTCAACATTGCATTATTTGCACTCAAAATGTGCTGAATAAATGAACTGAAATATTTCAGACATTTTTTTGTTAGCTTAAAATGATCAATAGGTTAGCTTAAAATGATCCCGAAAGCATATACCCCCCAGATGAAATAAATATTAATTTTAGACTATGAATTAATTATAATTTAATAACAGGGCATATGAAGTTGGCCTCACTTGCTTTTTTAGCAATGTCTTTACACACAATCTATATTCATGTTATTTTCTAAGTAACATACATTATGCAAAGGCACACTGACAGTTCGATGAATGAGCTAGTAAAATAGGCAATCTAAAAGTTTCTCTATACTTTAAAGAAAAATGGGTAACTGTATTTTAAGAAATAAATTGTTTCTCCAATTTTTCTGAATAGTGAATCAGATACATTATTTATAATTAGTGTCTTTTGCTTTCTTTCCTGCATGGTTTTCCTTATTTCTAAACTTTTTTTTAATCTAGATGATATCATGAAGTAATACATTTTATATTAAATTAAATGAAACAACCAGGAAAAGAGCATGTATTTATCAAAAACAGGGGAAATCAACCCATTATTTGATGGCAAGTGAGTTATTACCCTCTTGGGAGGGTAGAGCCTAGAAGAGACCTGAGAGGGGACCCTGGGGACTTGATATGTTGTTTCTTGGTCTAGGTGCATGGTGTGCATGCGTTCCATTTGTGAAAATTCATCAGGACATACAATGATGATTTATGTATTGTACTACATGCCTCAGGTTTCTTTCCAGATTTGGGGAACACAGCAGGGAAAATACAGACAAAAGCCCTGAGCTCCTGGAACTAACATTTTAGTCAGGACAACCAGACAGTATGCAAGTATACAACTAAATATATGCTATATGTAATCGGTGCTCTGGGCAAAAACTAAGCGGGGTGAGGGGATGTGAGAGGCTGAGCCGGGGTTGGGGGGTGAGAGCTGTTTCATTCAGGGCTGTCAGGACAGGCCTTTCTGATAAGGAGACATTGCAGAGAGACCTGAAGAAATGGGGGGAAGGAGTCAAAGAGATATTTAGGACTAGGAGAGTCTTGAAGGCAAAGGGAGCACAGTATGCTAGTGTTCTGGGCCCTAATCCAGGCAAGTAGGGGTGGCTGAACAGAGACAGGAGGACCACAGTGGAGGGAGATGGAGAGACCACCTGAAAGGCCACATCAGCAATTTGGGCTGATTCTCTGTGAGACAGGAAATCTTTGCAGTATGATTTGTAGAAAAGCTTTGTGCCTTTTGTATATTCTTTCAGTATCTCAAAATTTTTTTTTAAGGTTGTTATCTGATATAGATATTGCAATATGAATTATTTTATTTGATTCATCATCTCTATGGTAAGAGGGGCTCAGGGAAACTGGAGGGCCCCATGAAGGTAAATTTGTTAAATGTGGGGTAAAAGGACCCAAAAAGGGAATATGTGTGCATCCATGAGTGTGTGTGTTTTTGTGTATAGGGAGTGGTCGCTGAAAACAAATTTTACTTTCTCTATTTTGATAGTTAGATAGCAGTCTACAAAACGTATGCAGGAGGTTTCATCTCCAGGCAGCGGCTTGTACAACTCTTAGGCAACCACAGAGCGTTCTCACTGAAGGCAGAGAGGGGTAACAGCTCAGGTCAGCACATGACCAGGAGGAAAAACCTCTGGGCCCACTTTCATAAAGCTTCCATTTTATTTCAGTTCAGCTATGGTTGTGGAAGAACTGTAAAGAAATGCTGCCTTAGAATTTAAAATGATTTGACTGTTCTTAGAAGAGACTCTAGTAGATTAACTTCCTTCAGTCTGATACCACCTTCAGTCCATTTGCTTGGGGGCCAACTTCCTGCTCTGAAAAACTTCAGTGGTTTGTTCATAAGAAATGCATTGTCTTTTCTATTCTTCCAACACCTACTCAGGGGAGATGGAGGATTCTTAAAGACAAATGGTGAACTACTTATTTCCTTTAGAGATTTTCAGACAGCACACACAAGACTATCGATGCAGAGGGAGAAAAAACCATGAAGAAAGCCCTGTTGTCTCTAATCTTTCTGAAAATAGGCTCAATGAAACTAGAAATGATCATCTCTTGAAATTTTATCATTTGTTCCCTTATGTTTCATCTTATTCAGTCAATTATAGATATGGGAAGCGAGAATCAAGCTACCAGAGTGTGAAGAATCCATTTAAAACCAATATATCTGTCCGTGCCTATGAGGAAGTAGAAAGGTCAATTAGTAATTTCGTGTTAACATCAGCCCGCCAGTTCCGATAAAGCTGCATGTTTGTAGTCCACAAAGACTCTAGCTTTAGATGATCAATGTGAACTGTTCAATCCTGGTTTTACAAACGATCAACCAAATTAAAGAGTTGGTGTTCACACTGAATGCTGTACATTAAAAAGCTGTATATTGATCTTTGCAAAGGTGAAACAGTTTTAAGAAGATGAAAGACATGTGCAACATGGTAAAGAAATGGACCTGACTATCATTGGGGAGAGGACAAAACTATCTTTTATTTGTATTTCTAAAACGTTCCGTACAATAATAACAGCAAGTATTTATGAAGCATTTGCTGTGTGCCTGGCATGTGTAAATGCCTAAGGTCCGCTTTTCTCACACTTTAATGTGCATGAGAGTCAGCCAGGGATCTTGCTAAGATGGAGTTTCTGATTCAGTAGGTTGGCAGTTGGACTTACGAGTCTGCATTCTAATAAGCTCTTAGGTGATATGGATGTACTAACCTTCCCCCGATGATGTGTCTTATACAGCATGCTATATAATTCAATCAGAGCACAGCCAGTGAGGCTGTCAAAATTATCGCCTTTTTGTAGGTCAGAGAACTAAGAGTCAGAAAGATTAGGCAGATTGAACCTTGGTCTCAGGTAGGACACAGCAGATCTCATTCTGAATTTAGAGCTCAAACACTCAACAAATATCTTCCAACTGCCTATTATAATAGAATCACTCTTGATGATTCTATACATTTTAATGTAGCAATAAAGCATGAATACATTTTAATAAGCAATTAATTAATGAATACATTTTAATAAGCAATAATATGTCTAAGCCTTTTAGTTTAGTCAAGTCTGTCTGTCTTCATTTCAATAAAATTCTGCAGTCTGTATAAAGCTCAGTTTATTAAAGGGAGCTGTTTTCTTCATTTAGACCAGCTTGTGATCGCAAACCACACTGACATTTCCCAGACTGCTTCTGGCATACTAACTGTTTTAAATGTTAGTCTGGTTTCAGGGGAGTCATTATGGAGAACATCAGTCTCGTCTCAGAAATGTGCCCTGCATAAAAATGTAGGCTCAGTAAGGGTTTCTTTGAATGTTCCCAGAGTAATTATTATGGATAAGCACACTGTAAACATTCATATTTGGTATTAGAGCAAGTGATCTACATTCAGTTCAATTCCAGAAATCTTTCTTGAGCACCTACTAGATTTTAGATGCTGTGACTCAGGCTCTAGTGGAGGCGGAGAGGAATAAAGGTTAGCCCCATTTCCTAAGAGCTTACAGTCTTATCCTCAGCTCTCAACTGCATCTAAATTTTGTGTAATTAATTAACATCACAGCTAAAGTGTCAGAAGCAACCATGGACACATTTATGAATGAGGCAATGTCTACCTGCATTAGACATAGGTAATTTTAAAGAATCATGATAATAAACAGGTTCACTGCTGTTGATGTGATTCCTTACCTTACCGTCAAATGAATCATGTGCCTTGTGTGAAAATGCTCAATCACTCCTGTTTTTATTGACTCAAAATAATGTCTACTTTAACTTTTTTTCAAAAGTCACATGTATGAATACCAAGGGGCAAAGGGGGGATGAATTGGGAGGTTAGGATTGACATATATACACTACTGATACTATGTATAAAATAGATAACTGATGAGAATCTACTGTATAACACAGGGAACTCTACTGAATGCTCTGTGGCGACCTAAATGGGAAGAAAATTTAAAAAAAAAAGAGTGGATATACGTATACATATAGCTGATTCACTATGCTGTACGCTAGAAGCTAACACAACACTGTAAAGCAACTGTCCTCCAATAAAAATTTTTTAAAATCACATGAATATTGTGGGTAGGGACACTAGAGAGGGAACAAAAGGTATTATCCTCAAGCATCACAATTCATCCAGTCAGATAATGTGTATTGAATACCTACTGAGTACAATATCCTGTGCAAATGTTTTTGAAAATGCAGTAAATATATTAGGTATTGTCCCTGTCCTTAAAGAAGTAACAATCAAATTCAGTGATTCTCAAACTTTCATGTGCACAAACATCACCAAGAGTATATTCATAGCACGGAATTCTGCTTAGCAATGATAAGAAATGGACTGTTGATGCACTCAGCAACATGATGCATCCCAAAAACATTATGCTGAGGGAAAGAAGTCAGACATAAGGGAGGATAAACTGGGCATATACATTATAGTTATAAAATTAACTGTTAGGAATATACATGACAACTCTCAAAAGACTCATGATTTGGAGATTATTGTGTGGGAATTATCCGTGACCACCCAATCTAAAAGAGACCCTTTCTGTTTATTTCTTCATAACATTTGCCATAATTTGTAATTGCATATTTATCAATGTACATGTTTACCTCTGTACTAACCTATATGTTCCAAGAGGATAGTAGTTACATGTGCATTGTTTGCCTCTATATACCTGCTGGCTTTTACAATGCTTGGTATCAATAAAGTGTTCTATAGCTATATGTTGTCATAAAGATCATCTCCTTCTTGAGAACACCAGTGGCTCATTTTTTCTTCATGCCTCTCAGATGTAACAAAAAGGACACAAAGGGCACTCTCAAAAACACTTTTCAATGAAAAAATCACCAGAAACAATTGTACAGCTCATAATCTAGAAACAGAGTAAGCGATGTGAGATTTTTCATCCAAATTGGGATGGATGACTTTCTAAACAGGGAAAATTAATTCAGTGAGTAAATGATGCAAATGAGTCTACATTTTAGCTACTCAAAGCTAACTAATGGAATAGATAATGGGAAAGATGCTGCTCTAGGTTAATCTTTATTTTACACATTATGGAACAGTCTAGTTAAGTGGTTCTCAGTTCTGAGAGCACAGTAGATTTGTAAATTACAGGTGCCTGGGTTTTCCTTCCACCCCTCTCTGGCAGTGATTCAATTGTTTTGGGTGGGTCCTGTGTATTGATAGTTTTAAAGACTCCCCAGGTCTGTCAGGGCTGAGAACCTCTGTCTTAAGGAGGGGTGTTTATATAATATAATGTGGGCTTTGCTCAGAAAAAAAAAAAATTGGATTCAAACTTCATCTCAGTAACTTTCTAGCTATGTGACCTGGTGTAGATTACTGAACCTGTCCCAGCTCCAGAGTTTACAGTTATAAAATAAAATAATAATATCTACCCTTTAAGGTGGTGAAGATTTGAAATTAAACAAAATTCCAGTATCAAGTAGGTCTTCATAATTGATCATGTACTTTGCTTCTATATTTAGGTAAGATAATTTGTTTTCTTCAGGTTAGTCCCAGACAGCTCATGTACGTTTATATCAAGCCTATGATGATAGCATCTTGGCTGTGGAAATGGTCTCTGCCTCTCTAAGAGACTAAACTGGCAAATAAGGTGACAACTTTATTAACAAAGCTAGTGTTTGAATAGTTAGACCCCTCTCAATTCACATTTTTCCAAATGAGGATTTAAAGAAATAAAATACAATAATAACAGAGAATCAGTAATTTATTAACCTTTCTGAAGAAATCATCATGGGCCATGCATTGCATTTACAAGTCCTGCATGTATTATTTTATTCAATCCTTAGAGCATCCCTATGGGATTGGGTACTTTGGTAGTCATCATTATCCACATTTACAATTAAGGAAAAGAAGGTTCAAAGATATAAATAGCTTGCTCATGTCCCACATTTGGTAAAGTGATAGTGCAAAGATTCAAAGACTAATTTCAGTTGTTGTGTTCTTAATTCTTCCAGCGCTATCACTTTCTTCTAGAAAATAGCCCTTTATGAATATATCTACAGGACTGGGTGAGGGAAATGACACTTAGTCTGACATAATATGTGTTTGGGAATTGAGTGGCTATGGTTTTGAAAACAAACAAATGGACTGAATATACAGAATTCATGAGAACTCTCACTTAGCATGAAATTATTTTTGAAATCTATATATTGAAAAATCAACTTTACATTTCAGTATTTTTACTGGCAGTTTTCCTTGAGAAATAAGAGATTTTTTGAATACATTTTCTTGTATTTTCAACTGCAATTCTCCCCTCTATTCCTCGATTGAATTATGTCTGAGACAGAGGCCAGGAATCTGTCCCCAATGGGGTTGTGTCTCATTTAAATTCAAGCATCTTGTCCAGGACAGTCCTATAATTACCCTGAGTGCCTTTGGTCCACCTGCTGCCTAATATGCATGTTAGGATGGGTGGAACACTGACAATAGTTTGGAATTATTCTTTTTTTTTTTTTAGTGTTTATCAATTAGTACTTTATTTTTAAGACAGAAGCTTTTTAATTAAAATATACACATACTCCAAACCATTGTCATACCTAAAATTAACAATAATTCTAATATCAATAACCTGTCAGTGTTGGCATTTTCACAATTTTCTAATGCCTTATAATTGCTTTTACAATTTATTTCGACCAATAAACCACAACAAGAAAAGCTGGTACCTTGCCATTTATATTTCTTTCTTTTTTTTTTTTTTGACAGGGCAGAGGTTTATTTTAAAATACAGATTTCTAAGTAAGTTGCAGTCTGTCTCGTTTCCTAATTCACTTCAAACCTTTTCATTCATCATTCATTGAGTAAGTATCTATTGAGCACCAACCATGTGTTCGGCGGTTCTAGGAGGCTGTGATGCCCACATGCACAAACAAAACTGACAAATCTTTTTATACTGTTGGGGAAGACAAACAAATTATAAATTAGAGGAGATAAGCATTAAGGAAAAGGGGGCGTGGGGTATAAGGCACTTTAGCAAGGCCTTGTAAGTCATTACAAGGACTTTGGTTTTCCCTCTGAATCAACAGGATCCAAGAGAGGGTTTTGAGCATTGTCATGATCCAACATATTTCAGAAGGATCATTTCATATACACAATAGAGTATGTTATTTTTCAGTGTCTATAATCAACTTTATTTTAATATAATCTAAACACATATCATTTAGAAAATACCAAGAAAAATGTATGTACAAGAGTTGAAGCTATCGCATTTGGACAAAGCTGGCAAGTTCCTGCTACAAGCATATCCCAGGAGATACCACCGAGGAAAACCTAATATATTGGAGTAGATGTTGTGGCATTTGGTCCACAGTTTGATAGCCCTCAGGGTTAACCTGAAGTTGTCAATGTTTGATACTAGATGTAAAACATCTCGTAAAACCATTGCATTGATTTGCAATGAAATCAAAACCCTGCAATCATTAAGACTTCTTAAACACATGTAAATTTTTAAGCAGACTGTCATGTTTTAAGTCCAAGTTTCCTGGAATGGTCTGCAGTGCTAATCTTGCAAACAAAACATCAATCTCTATCTCATCAAACAGTTTGATAGCTGGTACAAATGCCTCTTCAACAGCTCTTACATCTTTTACTTCTCCCTGTAATTTCAACTTATCATAGAATGAGGTGAAAAAGTCACTTCAGTCAATATATCTTGGTGCAACACACAATGCATATTTGCATTTTTTTGTATGCGCTCCGAATCTGTGATATCCAGATGTAAACATTTCCCCATCAGCATGTTCAGTTACAGACTGCGGACGCTTCTCTCTTTCACCGCCTTAATTTTCCCAAAATTAAAATCCTGCACTGAAGTTCCTCTTTCTCTTCAAAAACCCCAAAGGGCTTCAGAGTCTCCACTAGTTTCCGTGTAAGTAGGCAGTTAGTCTCCTTGGGGGCTGCTAAGCGGGAGGGGGAAGAAATGCCACAGTGCTTCTGTGGTGGGTGTTTGCTGCGATCCCTGCCTTGTAACAGCAAACAGCTTCGTCCCAGCCGGCACCCCGCCCAGCCGGCACCCCGCCCAGCCCTACTCCGCCCTCCTCGCCTGCAGCCGCTGCCTACTCTGGGCAGGATCCACTGAGATGGGAAGCAGGGGCGTCGGCTGCCTCAGCCCTGGTCCAGCCTCACTCCGGCTCCGGCCTAGAGTATTTTTATTTTAAAATAAAAGTTTTAATTTTAAAATTTTCTAGTTGCCTTTTTACTAGAGGCACTATAATGTATCATTCAATCTGGAACACTTAAAAATTATATATAACTCACATATACATAAAATAGACATCTTAAGTGCATACGTTGTGAATATTTACATATGGATGGGTGCATCTAAGTAACTGACACCAAAAAGAAGGTAAGCTCACCTAGTTACACTGAGACAAGAGGCATCATCAGGACTGATTGCTTCCTTGTGAATAGATTCTTTGGGGCAAGAATATTGTCAGTGACAACACGTTTCTGCTTGTACCATGCCTGGTGATGATAAGGTTGAATATCTGGTTGAGGTGCACATGACCAAATTGCAACTGTTGCCTGTAAGATCTGTCTTGTCCAATGTAGAAATTTACTTGAGGCATTTTCAAGCAAATTAATTCTATTTGGTGACTTAGTATTTTTAAATGTCCCCATCTCCTTTATCCTCTGCTCCCTTAGGGCTGGGCATCTTTGGAGAGACAGTCACTTTGGCTTGTGTTTCCCATCAGTTCACAGGCTTTCTTTCTTCATGTGACCTTGTAAGCAGGCTGTGTACCCTGGAAGCCGGACGCATGGAGAGAGTGGAGTGGCCCCACTGTCTAAAGTCTAAAGTCACCGTGGAGTTGATTGTAGTCACTTCTCTATCATTAATTATAATCATAGCTGTACCCTTTTACTGCTATTATGATCTCACTGCAGGCTTTTTGTTAATACTTTATTCCTGTGTACACAGTCGGGACACAGCATGTTGTCCTCCAGGTGTGGGGGCGGGAAATCGCCAGAAGGTATTCCCTTAACTTATAATTGTCCCTGCCTCTATACTGATCATAAGGGATTTGATATAGGTCATACCTGAATGGTCTAGTGGTTTTCCCTACTTTCGTCAGTTTAAGTCTGAATTTGGCAATAAGGAGTTCATGATCTGAGCCACAGTCAGCTCCCGGTCTTGTTTTTGCTGACTGTATGGAGCTTCTCCATCTTTGGCTGCAAAGAATATAATCAGTCTGATTTCGGTGTTGACCATCTGGTGATGTCCATGTGTAGAGTCTTCTCTTGTGTTGTTGGAAGAGGATGTTTGCTATGACCAGTGCCTTCTCTTGGCAAAACTCTATTAGCCTTTGCCCTGCTTCATTCCGTACTCCAAGGCCAAATTTGCCTGTTACTCCAGGTCTTTCCTGACTTCCCACTTGGCATTCCAGTCCCTTATAATGAAAAGAACATCTTTTTTGGGTGTTAGTTCTAAAAGGTCTTGTAGGTCTTCATAGAACCATTCAACTTCAGCTTCTTCAGCATTACTGGTTGGGGCATAGGCTTGGATTTCCATGATATTGAATGGTTTGCCTTGGAAACGAACAGAGATCACTCTGTTGTTTTTGAGGCTGCATCCAAGTACTGCATTTCAGACTCTTTTGTTGACTATGATGGCTACTCCATTTCTTCTAAGGGACTCCTGCCCATAGTAGTAGATATAATGGTCATCTGAGTTAAATTCACCCATTCCAGTCCATTTTAGTTCGCTGATTCCTAGAATGTTGACATTCACTCTTGCCATCTCCTGTTTGATCACTTCCAATTTGCCTTGATTCATGGACCTAACATTCCAGGTTCCTATGCAATATTGCTCTTTACAGCATTGGACCTTGCTTCTATCACCAGGGACCAGGGATTTAAGGGACTAGATCTGATAGACAGAGTGCCTGATGAACTATGGAGGGAGGTTCGTGACATTGTACAGGAGACAGGGATCAAGACCATCCCCATGGAAAAGAAATGCAAAAAACACAAAATGGTTGTCTGAGGAGGCCTTAAAAATAGCTGTGAAACAAAGAGAAGCTAAAAGCAAAGGAGAAAAGGAAAGATATTCCCATTTGAATGCAGAGTTTCAAAGAATAGCAAGGAGAGACAAGAAAGCCTTCCTCAGCGATCAACGCAAAGAAATAGAGGAAAACAACAGAATGGGAAAGACTAGAGAGCTCTTTAAGAAAATAAGAGATACCAAGGGAACATTTCATGCAAAAATGGGCTCAATAAAGGACAGAAATGGTATGGACCTAACAGAAGCAGAAGATATTAAGAAGAGGTGGCAAGAATACACGGAAGAACTGTACAAAAAAGATCTTCATGACCCAGATAATCACAATGGTATGATCACTCACCTAGAGCCAGATATCCTGGAATGTAAAGTCAAGTGGGCCTTAGAAAGCATCACTACGAAGAAAGCTAGTGGATGTGATGGAATTCCAGTTGAGCTATTTCAAATCCTGAAAGATGATGCTGTGAAAGTGCTGCACTCAATATGCCAGCAAATTTGGAAAACTCAGCAGTGGCCACAGGACTGGAAAAGGTCTGTTTTCATTCCAATCCCTAAGAAAGGAAATCCCAAAGAATGCTCAAACTACCACACAATTGCACTCATCTCACACACTAGTAAAGTAATGCTCAAAATTCTCCAAGCCAGGCTTCAGCAATACATGAACCAAGAACTTCCAGATGTTCAAGCTGGTTTTAGAAAAGGCAGAGGAACCAGAGATCAAATTGCCAACATCCGCTAGATCGTCAAAAAAAGCAGGAGAGTTCCAGAAAAACATCTATTTCTGCTTTATTGACTATGCCAAAGCCTTCGACTGTGTGGATCACAATAAACTGTGGACAATTCTGAAGGAGATGGGAATACCAGACCACCTGACCTGCCTCTTGAGAAACTTGTATGTAGGTCAGGAAGCAACATTTAGAACTGAACATGGGACAACAGACTGGTTCCGAATAGGAAAAGGAATACATCAAGTCTGTATATTGTCACCCTGCTTATTTAACTTCTATGCAGAGTACATCATGAGAAACGCTGGGCTGGAGGAAACACAAGCTGGAATCAAGATTGCTGGGAGAAATATCTATAACCTCAGATATGCAGATGACACCACCCTTATGGCACAAAGTGAAGAGAAACTAAAGAGCCTCTTGATGAAAGTGAAAGAGGAGAGTGAAAAAGTTGGCTTAAAGCTTAACATTCAGAAAACTAAGATCATGGCATCTGGTCCCATCACTTCATGGGAAATAGATGGGGAAACAGTGGAAACAGTGTCAGACTTTATTTTTTGGGGCTCTGAAATCACTGCAGATGGTGACTGCAGCCATGAAATTAAAAGACGCTTACTCTTTGGAAGGAAAGTTATGACCAACCTAGATAGCATATTAAAAAGCAGAGACATTACTTTGCCAACAAAGGTCCATCTGATCAAGGCTATGGTTTTTCCAGTGGTCATGTATGGCTGAGAGAGTTGGACTGTGAAGAAAGCTGAGTGCCGAAAAATTGATGCTTTTGAACTGTGGTGTTGGAGAAGACTCTTGAGAGTTCCCTGGACTGCAGGGAGATCCAACCAGTCCATTCTGAAGGAGATAGGTCCTGGGTGTTCATTGGAGGGACTGATGCTGAAGCTGAAACTCCAATACTTTGGCCACCTCATAGGAAGAGTTTACTCATTGGAAAAGACCCTGATGCTGGCAGGGATTGGGGGCAGGAGGAGAAGGGGACGACAGAGGATGAGATGGTTGGATGGCATCACCGACTCGATGGACATGAGTTTGAGTGAACTCTGGGAGTTTGTGATGGACAGGGAGGCCTGGCGTGCTGTTATTCATGGGGTTGCAAAGAGTCAGACACGACTGAGCGACTGAAGTAACTATATTGATCACTATATTGATCACTTCACATTTTTTAAAATTTAGTTTTTTTAAATTGAAGGATAATTGGTTTACAGAATTTTGTTGTCTTCTGTCAAGCCTCAACATGAATCAGCCATTGGTATACATATATCCCCCTCCGTTTTGAACCTCCCTCCCATTTCCCTTCCCATCCCACCCCTTAGGTTGATACAGAGCCCCTGTTTGAGTTTCCTGAGCCACACAGCAAATTCCCGTTGGCTCTCTATTTTACACATGGTAATGTAAGTTTTCATGTTACTCTTTCCATACATCTCACCCTCTCCTCCCCTCTCCCCATGTCCAGAAGTCTATTCTCTATGTCTGTTTCTCCACTGCTGCCCTGTAAGTAAATTCTTTAGTACCATTTTTGTAGATTCTATATATATGCGTTAGAATACGATATTTATCTCTCTTTCTCTGACTTACTTCACTCTGTATAATAGGTTCTGGGTTCATCCACCTCATTAGAACTGACTCAAAGGTGTTCCTTTTTATGGCTGAGTAATATTCCACTGTGTATATGTATCACAACTTTTTTATCCATTCATCTGTCAATGAACATCTAGGTTGCTTCCA